GCGCGCTTGAAATTATTTTCATACTAAACGTAGACGTATACAGAGAGCAAAGAAGATATATATATATATATAATATATATATAAATATAAATAAATATATATATATATAAATATAAATATATAAATACAAAAAAAAATATAATATGTTGTGTAAGTATACTTACAGTGAGTATGAAGGAAATTCTTAGGCTTTTATGAATGACGATGATTTTGTGGCGCGCGACATCTTTGCATATTCGAGAAAAGACTTCATCCTCTCTCTCGTGATGCCTCGTGAATCGAGGTTTAGAAGAAAATAAGAGGGAGGGGGAAAAAAAACTTTTCGTATCGACTAGACGAATTTTTCTGATTGCGAACGAGAGGGTTTCATCAGCCAATGTTTTTCAGCCGGTATCAACCGCGACACGTCGATATTCCGAGGAAAAATGTTCAAGGGTTGTGTCGTCTTATATTAACGCGTTGCCGCTTTAAATGTTCCGCCAAAAACGAGTTTTATAATCAAACGTGTGTCGCGCGAATTTTTCTCGAGGCGACTGAGAATCATTGGCGCTGAAAAAAAAAAGAGTAGTTTCGTTAGTTTCGTAAGAATGCGCAAGTTGTCCGAATCGAAACGAGAATCGAGAGCGTTTCGTCTAACTTACTGTGTAAATATCATTGATTTTGATAAATCTTTGAGATTTTGTCAGCGTTCTAGGTATCTCCTTTCCTAATGTGAATGACTCGCGGTCTCATTTCATTGTCACTGTATCGTTCGCGTTGCTTAACGAACAAAAAAAAAAAAAGAAAAGAAAGAAAAATCACCTTTTTTAATTTTATAACACGCTCCCTTCGCGAGAACGTTGATTCGTTTAATTACCATAAAGGAACAATTAAATTGTCCTGGTAATAAATCCCGAAAACCGACGAGATGACAGAGTACGTAAATTCATTGGGCGAGATAAGAAGATAAAAAAGTATTATTTTCAGACGATTTTACGTACTCTTCATCTGAAAAACCGATCTCATTGCTCGTTAAACGAACAACCAAGACACTCTTGCACTCTGATTGAATTAATATTATTGGAGAATTTTAAAAATAATCAATATTAGATTTGACAAATTTAATAATAAGAACCTTTTCATAAAATAATTTTGAATAGCAATTTCAAATATTTCAAAAGTTTTCCAATTCATCCAATAATTATCCAATTTCATATATTGTCGTCCTCGTTCTTAATCTTACACATTTTATTATCTTTGAAAAAACATTTAAGATTCATAAAATTCAATATTAACAGTTATATTGGATTTCTCAATAAAATTTTTATATTATGATAAATTTCTAATCTTCGAATCAATGAGATATATTAATTAATTTAGAAGAAAAAGAAATGGAGAATTGAAGAATCGTTGAGAGCCGAATCGACGACATAATCTACAATTTATATTTCGTCAATTCACCAATACTATTAATTTTTAAATTATTGTGCAAGAGGATCTAGCGTTATCGACATTCCTCATCGGTCGTCCGCGTTACACGACTACACGATGGATATTAGTTGTACTCTAGTCGAGCGAACAAGGCACAACTGTATTTCGATACATGTAATAATATATACGTACGCATGAAAGAATAAATGAAAGCATAACTATAACATTATACACATGAACATATACTACATATATATATCGAATCGTAGTTGTGTTGGGATACAAAAAGCGCTCTAAAGTTTCATGATGATTAGCTATTCGATTGGCGAAACCGTGCATGCACTTGATGCGAAAATGCTAGTCATATATATACGTAACCAATAAAATATGGCGAACGCGTTCCAGAATGCGATTACAGTACTCTCTCTAAATAAGGCTCCTCCAAATTAAACTTCTTTCTCGTTCGAACATTTTTCCACGACACCATTTTCTCTGAAGAGTTCATAAAATGATGAATGACTTCATCATAATTTCATGATTCGATCTTTTTCATGTAATTGTTCTGTAATGTAATTACAGATATACAATTATATAACATTTCATCGAAGTATAAATTTAATCAAAGAGAAAAAAAAAAAAAGAAACACTAAAAAAGTTTTTAAAAGATTTCTACTCTTTTGAAAAAAAAACGAAGGTTTTTTTAATATAAATTTTCCTTTAACTTAAAAAACGACTCTTTAAATAGAACCGCGGATGGAAAGTAAAAATTTAAAAAGCAAGTTATAGTTTTGAAAGTTTGTGCAAATTTTATACTCGAGTTACTCGCAGGGTATTGGTGGAGATATTATATTTCCTGGAAAAATATTTCTCTTCGGTATCACGATCAGTTTAACACACTTAGTGTGGACGTACCCATTATAGAGATTCTCTATCTAAGAAACATTTTGCGATACATATATCAAACACAAGTGACGTATTCAAGTCAATGGCTCATACGAAACGTTAAGCAATTGATTTAAATCCATCGCTTAAGTCGATGTATGCATTGCAACTTTTTATTTCTACAATATAAACCCACAACGTGTACAGCTCCATGAATCTTTTTCTAAAAAATGTAAAAGATAAAATAAAAAAGGAAAAATAAATCAAGTAAATATTTTATATCTTTACTTGATTGAAAATCTTGGTGCATTTTTCGCCACTTAATAACTGTCTTTTGCACTTATAAAAAATAATAATAATAATAATAATAATAATAATAATAATAATAATATTCGATTTTTTGTACCTTTTCGATTTTTGGTACCGCATCGAGCGTGTTGATTTAGAGGGAGTATTGTACAAAAAAAAAAAAAAAAAAAA